TTCTAAGATTTGATTTACATTTCTAATTAAAGTTGTTTTTGATCATACGTATAGATAATTATATAAAAATTCCAAAATTCTAAAATTTCAAATACATACAAAAACAATCATATGTAAATTATAAATTTGTGAATATTAAAATTTTATATTTTAATTACATATATTCACCCTGCGCAAGGCGCAGGTCTTATCCTAGTATGTAGTATAGCTTAATGTATCTTGCTGTAAAAGTTATATGGTAAAAAACTCTAGATTTATATAATATGATTATAGTAGAAATACGAGTTACTATTTTCATTAAAATAATGTTGGTAACGTTTTTGATATATAATTTACAGTGTAATTTTTGTTAAAAAATAATTAAAATGTTAAAATATAAATAATAAGTAGTTCTTGGATATAAATAATAACTCAAAGAATAATAAAATTATCACTACTTATTATTATGTATGCAAACTTTTAATAATTGATAAATAAGATATATAATGAATAATTTTTAAAAATTATAATTATTAATAATTAATATCAATAATAAAATAACTTACCCAATTATTTAAAACTTCAATTAACATTTCATCGAAAAATTACAAAAACTGCAAATATGGTTTGGAACGCACATTATTTTATTATTATTGATCTTCGTAAAAGAATATATATACAGCTATATGGAGATCTTTCTTAAAAAAATTAAAAGTTCAAAAAAAAAATCTGGAGCAACGCAAAAGTAAGCTGCATCCACATGAGCTTCAAATCAACATAACATCAGCCCGTGTAGTCTTGAATTGTGGGCATAATCGAGGGAGGTAATGCGGTTTCTTATTGTCTTGTCTATCATCCTTGCTAGATGGTTCACCGACTTGTTGCTGGTGTTTTGCTTCCTCTCATTACGCTCAAGCCGGATGAAATAAATAGTTGCTTGCAGAGCCAGACGCAGGAGGATGAAACTGAGCCGGTCATATGCACCTGTGAGAAGGCGAGATAAAGTTATGTCCCAATCCACGTCAGGTTCCCTGCCAAACAGAGTACCTGTCACTTCAGCCAGACCATGAAAGTATAAGGACAAGCAAAACTTAAGTGATCTCTGTCTCATCAGGCTCTCCGCAAAAAAATACAACACTGCTGTTGTCCCCAACTGCTAGTGCGATGACCTGTGGAGAGTCTATCACAAATGGCGAGCCAGGTGATGAAAGCGTAGCGAGGAATTCCTTGTGAAAACCTGACTAGCTTGCTCCAGTTCAATCTGTCCTTGGTCTGTGTGATTTGGTTCCAAGTTTCTGAAGCGACAAACTTCGAACCATAGTCATCATTCCCTCTCTTCCACAACACTACATCTCGCCCGTCTGTTAGATGAATATTGAACGCTTCAATCTCATCAATCATGGAACGGATAAGAGGATCCCTGCACCTGCGAAAACGCCACGTACCATCACGGAGCACATCACTAATCCTTGTCTCCCTCCTAATACCCGATCTCTGCGTGCCAATTTCACCAGCAAAGTCAATTAGCTTACCTTTAGGGTGCCAAATGTCTGTCCAGAACCTAACCGTGGTACCATCCTTAACCTCGTATCTAATAAAGCTCTTTGCCAAGGATCAAACTCGTAGCAACTTACGCCACAGCCATGAGCCAATACCCGTATCTCTAGCATCCCAAAATGTATCATCGCAGAGAAAATATCGATGTACCCATTGTACCCACAGCGAGGAAGCTTGATCAAATAACCTCAAAATAAGCTTCAGTTGAAAGACCATACACACCTCAGGGACCCGTCGAATACCCAACCCTCCTTCATCATAGGGACATCAAACATCCTCCCAAGAAATCTTGGCTCTCGAAGTAATGTTAGGTGATCCGCTCCAAAGGAAAATAGAACACATGCTCTCAATTTCCTCAATGCAGTTTTTCGGCAGACAGAAAGCTGCACACCAACAATTAGGGATACTAGCTATGACAGATTTAATAAGCTGCAGTCGACCCGCATATGACAGAGCTTTACTTGTCCAAGAGAGGAAAAGGCTCCTGATCTTGGTAATAAGGGGCTCGTAGTCATTCCTTGTCATTATTTTGGTAGTGAGAAGCAACCCAATGTACTTAATAGGAAGGGCAGAGACAAAGAGACTCGCGGCCGCTGCTACATCCTCTAGTACATGTTTCTCTCTTCCAGCAGCAAAGACTGTAGACTTCACTATATTTATCTTCAAGCCTGACATCACCGCAAAATCCTCAAAGATCTGAAGAGTTCCCTGAAGCGACAGTGGAGTACCATCTGTAAATACTACAATGTCATCAGCGAAGCTCAAGTGAGATAAGTTAACTTCCTTGCATTGCATATGAAACCCAATTCTCTCTTCCACCATCGCTCTGTTTATGAGTTTAGAAAGCACATTACTGAGAATAACATTGAGGTAATGAGATAGTGAGCAGCCCTGACAAATGCCTCTAGTGCTGGTGAAAAATCCCGCCAATTCTCCATTCACTGATACTGAAAAAGCTGCTGTGGTAATACACCTCATTATCCAGGCGACAAACATATCAGGAGAATTCATAGCGCGCAGAGTATTCTCAATAAAGGATCAGCTTACTGTATCAAAGGCGGTATCCAGCTTAATGCCTGACCGAGAAGAAATTGATTGCTTGTGGTAGTCATTGACTAGCTCAGTAGCTAGCAATACGTTTTCTAATAGTAACCTTCCTTCCACAAATGCACACTGGCTCAACTCAAAGGCTTCCGGTAGAGTGGCTTTGAAGCGTTTTGCAAGAATTTTGGATACCACCTTATATAGCACATTGCAGCAAGCTATGGGTCTGTAATCGGTCATCTTATCAGCATCATTAGTCTTTGAAATCAGGGAAAGTAGAGTGGCGTTGACACTATGAGGCATGCAACCAAATATAAAGAAGGACTGTATTGCAGTGATAAAATCCTTTGCAATCACCGGCCATGCAGCTTTATAAAACTCCATAGGATATCCATCAGGCCCCAGAGCTTTATTTTCAGGCATGGAAAAGAGAGTTTCCCTGATTTCAGATGCCTCCACCGGTCTCATAAGAAGCGCTTTAGCTTCGTTTGAGCACCGAAAATTGACCAAATCAGTAAAGTTCTCCAGCAATGCAGCAGAGCTACCTGGCGGCACACCATTAAGAAAGGTTTCAAATGAGTTGCTGCTTCGATCTTGATATCCATAGGAGAGGTGAGAATCCTGCCATCCTCTGTGACAATACGCCTGATGGTGTTCTTTTCATTTTGACTCTGAGTACCTTTTTAAAAAACAACACGAGTTTCTGTCTCCTAAACCCAGCCACTGAACCCTTGACTTTTGATAATAAAATTGCTCCTCAATGCCTGAAATATGATGCCAATGCTCCCAAGCATCCGATGCTGCTTCAAAAATGGTGGTTTGAGGGTTTCACATTTCTTCTGTTGGTTTAGCACATAGGTCATTATAAGCCTGCTTAACTCTTCCTGGTAAGTCTCCGAACATATCACGGTTGAGACCTCGCATTTCTGATTTCAGTGCTTTCAGTTTGTCTTGGAACATACGCAGAGCGCAGCTAGGTTGAAAAAGAGGGCCAGGATCATTCCAGACTCGACTCACTACTTCAAGAAACCGAGGATGAGAAGCCGTGTGGTTGAAAAACTTAAACGGTCTGGAGTTTCCCTGCGGTGCCTGACGAAGCTGAATGTGCATTCGCATATGATCAGACACGCCACCAGAATCAAATGTAACATAAGAATTGGGAAAGCTACTTATCCAGCAGCTATTACTCATAACCCGGTCCAACTTCTTAGTGATAGGATTTGCATCCTGATTATTAGTCCAAGTAAAAGAGGGACCAACAAGTGGTAAGTCCATCATGTCACAGCTGCGAACCACATTCTGAAACTCCCTAATAGCAGCTCTCTCCGCTGCAGCTTCCACCAGACGAGAGTGCTCTAGAAAAGAAAAACCAACATTAATATCACCTTAAATTATCCATGCATTCGTATTGCCTGCAACGGACCAAGAAATTGTCTCCCGATTCTCTCCATAGCTCTCTTCTTTCCATCATGCAGTTAGAAGCATAAATAAAAGAGGACAAAAACGTATCACCCGTAGCTATGACCCGAACCCAAACTGTAATCATCTGAGTAGAAATATATATTGGTACAACCTCCACCTCATCAGACCAACACACTCAAATCCTTCCCAACTGATGGTTAGAATAGTCATGAACAAAATTCCACCCCAGAAAGGTAAAATCAAAAATCTTCTTAAAATTCACCTCTTGAACTCTAGTCTCCAACAAACATCCAAACGACAGTTTTGCTGCTAATATCCAATATCTAACTGCCTATTGTTTACGTGGCATGTTGAACCCACAAATGTTCCATGCGAAGATTGAAGACATCAGTGCTTCCGAGAAGAAGCTTTTTTCTCTTGTTGACACCCTTCTGCTTCTGTGTAACTACCTATAACAAACTCCTTGTGTTAATAATAGTCCTCTTCGCACCCCTTCCTCTACTACGAGACGAGCCAGATTGCCTCACACCTTCCCTCCCCGAGTTATCAACTGCATAGTCTTTCACCGAAGAGCCAGTAGGATGACCAGGAGATATTTGTTCTTCGATCTCCTCCACTGAAGCCGCTGCCTCTGCCTCTGCCTGCTCGTCTATCTCACCCTCCTATCGAATATCTTGTAGCACTTGGAACCCATTTGGCGATAAACATCCATCAAAGTTGTTTTATACGGTGAAATAGCAAGGTCCCTATTTTGACCAGCAGCAAGACTCCCTTGGCAATCACTAATTTCTGTTACAGCACTAGGGCTGATCACCTCACTACCCGGAGGAGGGACATTCGACAAATTCTTCTCTCCGGACACTGAATCAAGCTCCGCCAACAGCTTAGTAATGATCACAACACCTGACGTTTCTGGAAATTCTTTAGAGGAAAAACCTTCCAACACAACAGAGTCATGTTGTAGCTTATTGGCTTCATCCTCCGGCTGCGTTTGGTCGTTGGACTTGTTCTTCTGAACCGTACAGTTTATCTCTGAGTGTCCCCATCTAGTGCATGAAGCACAACGAGGTGGGAGCCAAGGATAACTGATGGAGACAAGTTCATCAGATTTGTTCCTGCCTTTGAAACTAATTTTGTTAGGCAGAGGTTTAGTCAAATCAACTTCCACAAGCACTCTAGAAACATCCATACGAATGCAGTGCTCCGTGTTCCCGTGTTCGGGTGGAGTTTGATGAATTTACCCACCGTACAGGACAAGAAACTGAGACCTCTCTTTGAATAGAGGGAACCCGGAACCTGTGCAAAATACACCCAGAGAGCTATGGCAGAGAGATCAGGCGGAGAGCTCGCAGTCTCTGGAGACCAAACTCCACCCATAAGAGGCACCTCCGAGATATGCTAAAATTTCCTTGCCAAAACTCTGTTTTGAATAACCGCATCTTCAATCCAAAAAGAACTGTTGTCTTGCCAATAAACTAGACACGATCTTAGGCTTCTTCCCCGCCAGTGCCCACATTCGATTTACAGTGGCGTGTTTCGAACCAATGTGCGGAGCATCGTTCATGAAGTAACCCTCCAGACAACATCTCCATAAAGGCTCTGTGTCTTCCAGAATCTCCACTGGTACCTCTAACTCTGCTAAACCATCTTTAACCACGAATTGGGGGTTCCGATCAGGGACCGTCGAACCATCCAACAGAACCGAAGAGTATAAGGCCTTCTCACTATTTCCAACCGGATCTACCACTGATTTCGGAGACTCCAATCCCCGCTTCTGCATCAGGTTATGACCTCCCCGCTGGTCTCCTCCTGGTGAGGTCTCCTTGCTCGCCGTGTCAAAAACGCGTGATTGGTGTGTATCGCCATCGCCTATCATTTTTTTTTTACGCACCCTTGTCTTTGTCTTTTCTCAATATTTGCAATTTTATTTGTATGTTGAACTGTGTATTATCAAACACATATTTGTATTATTTCTTTTTTTTTAAATACCATAAAATATTAACTCAACCTTAAAACATGAGATTTTTTTTGATGTTGGGTTAACTTTTGAGTTAGCAATTTATAAAAGGATTAACTCAAAATTGTACTTCATTCATAACATATAACTAGATTTTTGACCCGCGCTTAAGAAACGTGGCTACTATTTTGGTTTTTTTTTTATCTATAGATGGATCGATAAGTCTTTTGCTTTGATGATATAAAATGTCACAGAATCAATATCAAGTTATCATGCGGGTATGAACAAATTGTTATTTTATAATTTCTCAGACAAATTTTTTATGTTTCCAAATATATTAACAATGGTTGTACCTCAAATTTGTACCTGGGAAAGATTGTATATTTTACAATTAAATGACCCATTTTTTTTAGTTTTGTGATTAATTCATAAAATCATTTAGTTACAAAGTTTCACTATCTAATATATCTTTTTAAAATTAATGCAGATTTTAATTTATTATTATCATCAATATCTATGTAAATGTATTGTATATAATCGTGTAATTTTATTTGGGAAAATAATATCAATTAACTACGCCTGATGTTGGGAAGCGGGTCAAACTCGCTTCATCCGACCCGCTCTGCAGCGGGTTGAGTCATTTTTACAGCTCAAAAATTTGACCCGTCTGACCCACAAAGAAAATATATTTTTGTAAGAATTTTTTTATAAAATTTGAAAGAGAATCAGCCCATTAATGAAACCCATTATTATATATTTTTGGCCCAAATAAAAATTAAAAAAAAAATTGCCATTAATGATAAATTAAATTTGTATATAAGAATAAGTGTATAATTGGAAAACATAAAAAATCATTAAACAGAATGCTTCTATTTTAATGGTATTGATAACTCAAACCTAAATCAAAATTTTAAAATTAATACATGATTGATAATATTTTTTGAGGTACAACCATACATTAAACTAGGATCAACTATACCACATGTTACCAATCAAAGCCATAATGCAATATGATTTGAATGCAGTTTTATAAATTGTAGAATATTAAAATTTAATAAACAGAAAATGGTATGTAATAAAATTTGAATGATAACAAAAATAGAACATAACCAATAAAAAGAATTGTAAAATATTATAAAAGTGTGAAATACAAATTAAATGTAAAAATATATTTAATATAATAAAATATAATTATCACTAATACATATATAAAAATGCATTATTATCACAAAATCAATAATACTAAACTTAAAAAGTAAATCATAATTACCGTGTAATTTGTTTTCCTGAATATATTAGTATTAAATCTATATTTATTTTCTCTTTTAAAGGTATATATTTCAATATGCTTATTTATCACAATTATCTAAAATAAAAATTATTTATTATGTAAACACTATCATGTTTTTAACAACAATTCATTAATTTGATAATTTAACTTATAAACATATATAGTTCTCTTAACACATAACCATATTGTAATATTTTGATGTATAACATTATATATTTCTCTTTCTCAAAAAACATTATATATTTCGTACTTTTAGTTTTAACTCTTAATAGTACAACAGAATAACCGGTACAAATTAAGGGGATAATATAAACGATTGGTAACATGTAGTATTAAAGTTGATTTGTAATATGTAGTGTAGCTTAATGTATTTTGCTGTAAAAATTATATGGTCAAAACTATAGATTTATATAATATGATTATAGTAGAAATACGAGTTACTATTTTCATTAAAATAATGATTGGTAACATTTTTAATATATAATTTACAGTGTAACTTTTGTTAAAAAATAATTAAAATATAAATAATAATTAGTTCTTGGATATATATAATAACTCAAATAACAATAAAATTATCATTACTTATTATTATGTATGAATTTTTTAATAATTGATAAATAAGATATATAATGAATAATTTTTAAAAATTATAACTATTGATAATTAATATCAATAATAAAATAACTTACCCAACTATTTAAAAATTTAATTTTAAATTAAAACTAATAATCAAATAATGTGCGTTTCAAACCATATTTGCAATTTTATTTGTATGTTGAACTATGTATTATCAAATACATATTTATATTATTTATTTTCTTTTAAAATACCATAAAATATTAACTCAACCTTAAAACATGAGATTTTTCTTGATGTTGGGTTAACTTTTGAGTTAGCAATTTTATAAAAGGATTAACTCCAAATTGTATTTCAGTCATAACATATAATAACTCAAACCTAAATCAAAAAATTAAAATTAATACATGATTGATAACATTTTTGAGGTACAACCATAAATTAAACTAAATCAACTATACCACATGTTACCAATCAAAGCCATAATGCAATATGATTTGAATGCAGTTTTATAAATTGTAGAATATTAAATTTAATAAATAGAAAATGGTATGTAATAAAATTTGAATGATAACAAAAATAGAACATAACCAATAAACAGAATGGTAAAATATTATAAAAAGTGTGAAATACAAATTAAATGTAAAAATATACTTAATATAATAAAATATAATGATCACTAATACATATATAAAAATGCATTATTATCACAAAATCAATAATACTAAACTTAAGAAGTAAATCATAACTATACAGTAATTTGTTTTTCATGATTATATTAGTATTAAATCTATATTTGTTTTCTCTTTTAAAGTTATATATATTTCAATATGCTTATTTATCAAAAATTATCTACAATAAAAATTATTTATTATGTAAACACTATCATGTTTTTAACAACAATTCGTTAATTTGATAATTTAACTTATAAACTTATATAGTTCTCTTAACACATAAAAATCTATTATTTGTTAAAGGGTTCATACATATAATCAATAAGTATAATATTAACATTAATTTACATTATATATCTTACACAACTAAAAGTTTTTACATTTTTAAATTAAATATTTAAGTCCTAACGTATACATTACTTTATAATATGTATATAGAATAATTTTATATCTCTAAAATAAAAAGTCTGGTTTATAAATGAAAATTAGATTAAATATATTTTAAACATAATTATTTATATTTTATAAGTTAAAGAACGTGAAAAGGAAAAAATTGAAATGAAAAAAATTTACACCCTTGAAAAGTTTCAACAACTTCATATGCTTCAAATGTATAATTGATGGATTTTATATAAAACTTCCAGATTTTCTGAAAAATACTCCACTAACTTATTAAACACACCTATTCACAGACAAACCACACCTATTTACAAACTTCTGTGTTTCACAACCACACCCATATTTTCATTTTTTTCTTTTATTTTCAAAATGTAACCATTATGTGTATTTTATTTCTGTTTTATTGTGAATGGAAGCACAAATTATAATACACATGTGTTTTTCTGTAACCACACTAAACCTTCGGACTCTTAGACTGCGACTGATGACTGACTGCAAAGCACACGCCATTAATAATAACAAAAACCTTTACATATAATATATCTGTATTTATATGTTTTCGTTACTATTAGAACTGCACCACAGTTGTACCGTTGTTAGAGATTTGACACAAAATCCATTCAGATTATGATGTAAAGTTTGGGAGGATCCATGCCAAATGTTCATGTAGCACATTCCAGAATGTTAGTTAGTTATTTTAATTAAGATTGACATAAAATCTTGAACCCGAAGGAATCTTGTAGGTGGTATAAAACATATTTGAACCCGAAGTGTTATTAACCAAACTCGAAAGGATAACCCAAATAACCATAAATTAATAATCAATATAAAAATTTGAAACACATATATGTATTTCAAATACTCAGTTCAATGTTTACTTTTATATGATATAAAAACTTAGTATTAAAAATTTATAAATATTTTAAATAAACAATTACTTATAGTACTTCACAATTTACTTGTTGATACAACGCATCTACTCTATCTATAAAGATAATAAATATTGTTTATAAACGAGATTTATTTTCATGCTTGATCTAATACTTTATTGTTATTTTATAATTTTATGTGTGTTGGATTAATATCTATTCGATTTAAGTGTTTTTTCACGTTTTGCTTTTAAATTTGTCTTCTACTTCGGATATATTTGAATTGTAGCGATATAACTCGACTCTAAACGATATATGGTTATCTTACAAGTTTTAGTACGCAATACAAATTTGAACCGAACATGAAATGTTATTATCCAAACCGATCCGTACTAATAAAATATTAGAATGATAATTAGGAGTGTACACCAAACATACCTGATATGAATCCAAACATGTATCCAAACGTCCATGTCTAATTTTATCAATGAAGACTCAAAGGAATAGGATGTTTCGATCCTTGATAACTTTGTAGCACAAGAAAATATACTATTGATTGAAAGTTTGGCCATAAGTTGATCTTTACATCTTGACACTTACTCTTGGAGTTTACGAAAGGTGGTCTGTGAAGATGCATTTTGCAGAGGTGTTCTGTATCAGTTCGTGAAGTACTACAGGAGGTAGTACATGTGTGAGTCATGAAGATGAGCTATGCTGGAGTTCGTGTTTCTTGATGAGCGTGGGCTTGCTGGGATTAGAAAAGGAAAGAAGATATGTGTTTGAAGACATATGGACGTTTTCTATAAAGCAAAAGGAAGTTTGCTTGAAGATGAATTTTTCCATTAAAGATATGGAAAGTTACCTTATGTGTATTGGAAAGACTTGGAGAGCAAGTGGAAGACTTGGAGAGCGAGTTAAAGACGTGGAGAGCAAGTTCTGGTCTTATATATTAAGGAAGACGTGCCTTATGAGAAAGTAGACCTCATAGAAGAGAGAGAGGATCTCATTGTATATTGGTGTTATCTGCTTGGTGTCGAAGCAGTGTCTGAAGTAGTTTCCGATGGAGTCTGATGTGGACTTAGTTTGGTGGCGTTAGAGTT